ATATATATATATATATATATATATATTGTATGTATGCTGCATTTCATAATTTAAAACTTTAAGTGGACTGGGAAAATATTTATAACCGTTTTGAATAAGTATTATTGTTTGAATAATTCAAATATTGATGTTTGGATAAGGATTCTTGTTTACTTTTGAAATTAATGCAAAAAAAAAAAGATATAAACCCAGAGAAAAATGAAAAATATCGATCTTTTAGCTAGTTACTTCATTTCTGGATATTTTTCCTAAGGAAAAAATATATATACATATTGAAGTGTGGGGGTATATGTATTGTATGTGAGTATGTAATTATTGGATACTAAATACATATACAATATTATGTGCAATGTAGCTATATATTCAGTCTCTGCCAGAAGTGGATTTTAATAATGCATTAGAAAATCACATATCAGTTACTTTTTAAAGACTTATTTTTCAGAAAAGAGAACCTGTGCAGAAAAAATCCAGAATGGCTATCACTTTAGCCAAGATCAATCGGAGAGCATTAATTCAAGGATTAAACAACATATCCAGATCTTCCCAGTCAGTGGCCAAACTTCTGCATCCTAAGCTTACATGTAGAATTTTGGAGTTAAGGGACATATCTTGTCGTCTGCTGAGAGAAATTAATGCACCAAGTCAACCAGTATATAACATTCAGGTAAGCCCCTACTGCTTTGGCACAAGATGTGGACCTTTGTTAAAGAAACTTCTAAGATCTACAAGCTGTATTTCTGTATCCTCAGGTCATTAAAAAGAAAGATAGCTAAACTGCTTTAAATGTGGAATATTTTAAAAATGAGATTGCAGAGCATTTGGTTGTCTTCCATGTAAAACAGATGTACTTGGATAAGAGAAATAAATGGTTGCTTTTTTTCAATATAGTGTATTTTCTGGTTTAAATAAGTCTGAAAAGGAGGGGAAGCAATATGGACTTTAAAAAAAATACTTTTTTAGTTGCTGATAGGCCTTTATTTCATTTATTTACTTATATGGGGTGCTGAGAATCGAACTGAGTGCCTCACACATTCTAGGCAAGTGCTTTACCACTGAGCCACAACCCCAGCCCAGCAATGTAGACTTTTTTTCCCAGCTTATTATTTAACTCTATTAAATGGTCAATTTCAATTGATTTCAACCAAATATAAGGATGCAAATTACAATTTCTGTCAAACCTAAAAGAAATTCTACAACAAATCTTTAAAATGGCTGTTTTGTTCTTTCCCCCATGATTTTGTTGTATTTTCAATATAATCTTTACATATATAATATATTGAGTATATTTAACTATAATTTGGATAAGCCCATCAATATTTAAGTAGATTTTGAATTACCCTTTCTACATTGTTTTATTGGGGCTCTGTTTTGTTAAGGAAAACAGCTCATAAAACTTTTAAGGAACTATTTCTTTTTTCCTAAACTTTATGGTACAGAACTCTGGGTTTTTCAGTCTGGGCATTGTTCAAAGCATCCTAAATTTTCACTACAAAAGATTAGAATCTTGCAAGTCTGGCCTCTAAATCCCAGGATGAATCATTTGGAACCCTTGTGTTGAAGGGAGAGAAAACAAAGTTCAAATTGAGTTAAGTCAAAAAAGGTAGGATTCATTAGTTTATGTAAACAGTTTGGAGTTGTTTAAAAGCCCAGATATTGCTGGATAGAGGTACTCAAATGATGTTTGTCTCTTTTTCTCCATTTCTTGAGTCTGCTTGCTCTATGCTGACTGCATTCTTAGAGTGGCATTTTCCTCCATGATTTGCAGCTGTTCCTGGGGTTACTTCCTTCTAGATTTCTTCACAGCAGAAAAGAGAGTCATTAATCCAGTGTTCCCAGTAAAGTCCTCAGGTTCATTCTTTGAGAATGACTTATATAGGAGAATGACTTAGGTCTCAGTGCTCATCTCTAAGCCATAAAATGGGATGCCCTAATTAGTCTATGACCAGATTACCAGCTTCATCCCTATATTTGGGATTGGCGTCCCTCCAGATCATATGATCTGAGATTGGTATGGGAAGAGTAAATCCACAAATAAAAATGTGGGTTGTTTCAAAAAGATGATAAAATGAATGCTGAGTGGCCCAAATCAACAAATAATAATAAAAACATTTTACTCTGTAGGAATCTGTCTTTAATCAAAGATTTGACATTTCCAAAAATTATCAGATATGTGAGCTATGAACTGCCTGAGGGCAGCATTTATAAAAAAAATTCATTTATAATACCTGATATCTAATAAAGTAAAAAAATGTTTTGTTTTAACCATATGAGTCTCTAAGATCTACAAGCTGTATTTCTGTATCCTTAGGTCAGTAAAAAGAAAGCTAAACTGTATTATCTTAAATTCTCATTGAAATCACCTTTATATAGAATGTTTTGCTTTGCTATTTCTTTCCTTGCATTGTCAAACCTACAGATTTTCTAGAGGTTTGATATAAGAAATATCTTTGGAAAAATATTTCTGTATTTAGTACATGAAATCATATTTTAAAACACTGTCCATTTCGCTATTCAGAGTCTTCCTTTTTGCTTCTCTGCTAATTCAGAACCATCAAGGATCTGAGATTTTACATGCTAATCAATTATCTTTTTACACACACACACACACACACACACACACACACCAGGCTTAGGTCAGGGACATAGATTGATATTCATGGTAAAAGGATCAGAGCAATATTTTTTGTTGGTTCCCTACACTCAGTTCCCATAAGGCAGGTTATTTCAAAAGTGAGGAACCTTGAAATCAAAAGACTGAGCACTTTTTATTTTTATTTTTTTATTTTATTTTTTTGGCAGCTTGTGGCTTTATTTAAGCACACAAAAAACGTGCGCGCGAACTGTCTATTCATTTTCTTCACTGCGCAGCCTGGCGTTGGGATTGGTGACTCTGATGGCCAGCTGGGCCGCTCTTTCCAGGATGGCTTTGCGGTTCTTGGAGGAAACGTTGTGGGCAATCTCTGCACAGTAAGATTTGTTACACATGAGCAGCACCTCCAGCTCCTTGACGTTGTGCACCAGGAACTTGCGGAAGCCACTGGGCAACATGTGCTTGGTTTTCTTGTTGCTCCGGTAACCAATGTTGGGCATCAAGATCTGGCCCTTGAACCTCCTCCGCACCCGGTTGTGGATCCCCCTGGGTTTCCGCCAGTTGCGCTTAATTTTGACATACCGGTCTGACTGGTGCCGGATGAACTTCTTGGTCCTCTTTTTGACGATTTTGGGCTTCACGAGAGGTCTGAGGGCAGCCATGGTGCCGACTACGAATGGCGGCCACCTCCGAAGGCAGCGCCGAGGAAGAGCTGAGCACTTTTTAAATTTTTTCTCAGTACTAGGAGTTGAACCCAGGGGTGCTCTATCTACTGAACTAGACCCCAGCTCTTTTCATTTTTTATTTTGAGACAGAGTCTTACTAAGTTGTCCATCCTGGCCTTATATTGGCTATCCTCCTGCCTCAGCCTCCCAGGTCACTGGGATTACAGGCATGTGCCACCATGCTAGGGAACACTCTGAGCTTTTCATAGGAAAATGATACATTTGCCCAGCCTTCTCTTTGTCTCTCTGTCTCTCTCTCTCCCCGACCCCGAGGGTGATTTTTTATCACCCTGGAATGTAAATGTCTAGGAGAGAAGAAGAGGACTTTGTCTTTAGTGCCAGGTGATGTGTTTGGAGAGAACTTCTCTAGGTCTCTGTACACTTTCTCTAGCTTCCAAGGTTGTTTGCTACTTGAACATGTCCTTTGCTTGGAAGATCAATCTGTACAGGAATGAAACAAATCCATGAGAATATTCTCTCAAAACTCATGAATATTCAGTGGCAGGAAAAAATTGTATCTATTGCAGCTGAACTTATGTGCTTCCTTTTATCCGATGATAAGAACTGAAAAACAACACACTGGGTTTGCCTTTTTGCCTTGATTGACAATGAGTTTCTGAGGTAAATTTAAATCTAACTTATTCCTGGAGGCTGAGATGAAAGAGACAGGTTTAGGGACCAACTGGCTTGTCCAAGGTCCATATACTGACTGTGACTATCTCTTGACATCAAAATCAATAACTTGTGAGATCTCTTCTCCTTTGCTCTTGTTCTAATTGATCTAGCTTTAGTCCCCAAAATTATTATCAATGAAGTATTTCAAAACACACAGAAAGTAATATATCGTAAGTCTAACCCAAATTTAAATTGCTGGTAATATTTGTCATATTGCCTTCAGATCTCCCCTTAATAAAAATGAATATAATTAACTATAGCTTACTCTCTTCTCTTTGCTTCTCACCAAAGACAATCATTACACTGAAGTTGATGTGAATATGTCCTTACTTCTATATTTTTACTATATATATATATATATATATATATATATATATATATATTCACATTAGATGCATATAGTTTTATTCTATGTATATTTTAAGTTTATATAAATTATACTGTGCCTATCCTTCTGAGACTGTTCTTACTTGACATTGATAAATATGTAGCTAGGGTTTATTTTTACCTTCTCTCTCTGGTAAGAAAAAAAAAAGATCCATAGTTCATCTGATACTGGGTTGATGGACAGTTTAGTTTCTAAATTTTTTTCTGTTGAAGACAGTGCTTCAGTGAATATGCCTGCAAATACATCCCTGCCTGTGTGTGAGACATTCTTCAGGTATATATCTGAAAAGGGATTGCTCCAGGTTTCATTAGCTATTACCAAACTGTATTCAGGGAGGGTGTTCTTTATTGGGAATCCTTCTGATTCCTAATTAGAGGATAATTTCTTCAGTTTTGGAAAATTCTTAGTCATTATTTCTTCAAGTATTGCTTCTTTAGTTTTTTCTTTAATCTCTTCTTATAGAATGGCTATTAAAACATATTTTGGATCTTCTCATTTTATTCTTTATGTATATTTGCCTTCCTTATGTTTTCCTCTCTCTCTTTTTTAGTTGTAGATGAACAAAATACCTTAATTTTATTTATTTATTTTATGTGATGCTGAGGATCAAACCCAGTACCTTACATATGCTAGGCAAGTGCTCTTCCACTGAGCCACAACCCCAGCCTTCTTTGTCTCTTTTTGATACATCCTTAGTAATTATGCCTAAAATGCTCTTTCATTTAGTGTATTTTTAAAGTTTTTATTTGTTCTTTTTAGTAATCATGAAAATAGAATATATTTTGACATATCCTACATACATGGAGTATAATTTCCCATTTTTGTGGTGCACATGATGTGGAGTTACACTGGTCATATATTCATATAAAAACATAGGAAAATTACATTGACTCACTCTACTGTCTTTCCTATTTAGTCAGTGTATTTTAATTTTAAAACATTACATTTATCATTTCTACAAGTTCTATTTGTTGTTGTACCTAAAATTTCTGCTTCTTTTATCTTTTTAATGGATCCTTTACAAGTTTATTCATTTTTTTAAAAAAAAGTCTTTAATCCTTCTGAACATATTTATTTAGGAATGGTCTTTTACATGGTTGTTGTTTGAAATATTAGGGGGAATGCTAATTTTTCTAACTATGGTGATTTATATTATATCATATATTAGATAATTTACTTATGTTTTATAACTTAATTTTAACTGAAGCATCTTCCCCAACAGAGGTTTTTTGTTTTGTTTTTAATAAAAATCCCTTCTGTATTTACTGGTGGAACCAACCATCCCT